ATCTACTCTCCTCTTCTTTTGTTTGATATTCTTCTTCGATTAAATCTCTTATTATTCGTCCATATAATCTATTAAATGTTGCTGTTACTGTAATTCCTCGATAGTTCTTATATTTTTGTTTCTTCTTTTTATAGATATATATCTATAAGCCAATTTTCCATTCTTTTGGAATAATTTCTTCATTAAGACACCCTTCGAATAATTTTTTTGTTTCATTTTTTATCAGTTTTGCCGGTATTCCTCCAGGACCATTTGCTATGTTATTATTCGGTTTTTTACACGCTTGTTTAATCTGTTTTGTCTCTAAATGAATTGGTGAGTCCTTTTCTACGTTTATATCTTCTGTCATAAATTGAATTTTATTTTCTGCTAATAAATTTTTATAATATTCTTTCCATTGTTTAACTGAGATAAACTGTCTTTTATTATTATTACTTTCATTTCTAACATTTATTAGGAATTTTTATACTTTAGTGCATTTTCTTCCTCCTATAGGCCTATATGTTTCTATTTCTTTACAATTTCTATCCCAACCTAACGCTTTCTTTTCCAGAATGAATTTTTTTTATGATTTTCTAAGTTATTTATATCTTATTCTATTCTCTTCTTTTTTCGTGTTCATCCATTTTAAGTAAGTTACTTTTTTGTTATTTCATTTTTTCTACCTCATTGTCTCACAGAATTTTTAAAAAAATTTTCCATGTTTATTGATTTCTCCCAGAGCTTCATTTGTTGTTTTTATATTTTCGTATAAATCTATAGTGTTATCTTATTCTTTTTCTTTCAATTTTTCATCTAATCTTGTCTAAAACAATCTTCTCGTATTTTCTTCTGCTAAGTTTTCGAGATTAGATTTCAAATCTTTAATTACTTCCATTTCAATTTCTTTCCTCTTTCTGTGTTTGTACTACTTACTGTTCTGTAAAGAATAATTATTTTTGATCTTTTCAGATAGTAATCTGAGCCGCAGGTAACACCTCTCTGTGTTCTTCCATGTAAAATTTTAATTTGGGTTTTTTGCTACGAATAACATAGTCAATAATTGATTTCCACTGCCTTGTATGTTGGGTTCAAGTATATTTATATCTTTATGTTTAAAAAATTTATTATTGATCTTAAAGTAATTTGTATTAGAAAAGTCTATTAGTCTTCTTCCATTGTCATTCGGGTTAAATTTACCTTAGGTAGCCAAAATAGCGGCTCGTCTCTGATTCCAGTAAACAAAAGAAAGGAAACAGTGAAGACGCATGTTCTAACCTAACCTAACCTATTCTAATAAATTACCATAATTATTATTAACCAAATTATTAGAATAGGTTAGGTTAGGTTAGAACGTGCGTCCCCACTGTTTCCTTTCTTTTGTTTGCTGGAATCAGAGACGAGCCGCCATTTTGGCTACCTAAGGTAAATCTAACCGGAGTAAGTTTTATCCAGGAGCAGGACGTGTTTTAGTTTGGAAAGAGCCAGATATTGTACCTCCAGCCCTGAAAGTAATTACCAATAAATCCGAAAATCGTAAGAGGAAAAATGTAGACGTGTGTTAAGAATACGGAACAGTTTCTATCATGGAAAACGATGAAGTTACGAAAGAATCATCCGAATCGTGTTTTTACCGAATAAATCGGAAAAAAGGAATTAGAAATATGTCAACGGTGAGTGAAAGATTTTTTTTTCTTTAAATGCCGGTGTAGTAAGTAGCTGCGCCGATCGCCATCTTGTTTGTGCACGCGACGTCCACAAACAAGATGGCGACCGGAAGTGCCGCAACGGGGACTACCTAAGTTTAATTTTATCATTAATTTAAATTACAGCCGGATTGCTGAGCGGTTAGTGTTGCAACCTGGGAGACTNGATACGTTCCGTAATTTTCTAAAATCGCATAAAATCAAAACAACGAGTTAAAATTAACTTAAAACCGCATAAAAAAGTTTGCAGAAATTAAACGAAATAGGCTGCTTAATAAATTACTTTGAATGTCTGAAAGAAATTTATATAAAAGCTTAAAATAAACTTGTATTCAAACTTAATTCAGTTTATTTTATTGAAAAGTTATATAGTTTTACATTTTTTAATCATCATCGCTATCTGATAATGGTTTGCACCGTTTGCGAAGTTGTTCCAAATCACCTTCATCATCAAAAGAGACTGTCTCTGCCATAGATATTTGCGGTAAAGGCGATGGATTTTCACAAATTTCATTCTCGTTTTGTGTAACTCTTTCTTTTCTGACAATGTAATCAGTAATTAAACTTTGCGATGATGATTCTACTAATTTTTTATGTAGCTCACGATATCCAGACATGCAGTTCTGCAGCTCACGTTGTAATTTAAAGGCTCGTTCATAATTGGGGTCATTAATAAGAAAATGATTTTCTAATTTACTGCAAAGTTGAAGACCTTCTCGAATTAATTTTGCAGTGAGGGGGGTTGGTTTTTCCTTCTCATCATTATCACCTTCTAGACCTACGACGACATCTAAAGTTAGATCAATAATATCATTGTCACTTAAAGCATCATCCACAAGCAATTCATCTATATCATCATGGCTGAAGGTATTAAAGCCATCTCCGCCAATTTCATGTGCCAAAGTAATTATTTCATCTGATAGTTATCGATATCATCGGTGTTAAATTCACAGAAGGGCGAGACAAAGGAAGTTAAACTTTGAAGCTTTTTCTTCAAAATTAACGCATTTCTTTCGTTTTTTTTCAGTTTTAAGTATTTTTTATGTTTAATTACATTTATATCAAAAATTGCTAGGAACTAAAGCGATTAAGGTAGATCTAGCTGTCCTTTACATCCATAAACGTTATATGTTAGTGGAACAAATAGAGTGAGCTTTGAGCGTTCCACGATTTTTGGAGAATGTCTATACGCGGGCTTCCTAAACAAGCCTATATGTATGTTTGTCCAAGAAATTTTTGGAGGAAATACAAACCGCACAACTTCAAAATCGCATAAAAATAATCCGCATAAAAAGAGACCTTACAGTACAAAGTCTTCCAGTTTTTCCATTTTCGACCCTTTTTTTGTTTTTGTTAAGTTCACAAAGACAATTTTTATTCTTTTTACTTTATAACTGTCTCTTGTCTCTTTCCCTCTCTATCCCTTTGGTCTTATCCCTTTAACATTCCATGTAGACAAATTCATTGTCCGGTTACCTTGGCTTATTCTTTTACCATTCGGTTTTTTCCCAGAGCTTGCTTTCTTTTGCGGTGTAATTTTTTTACAGGCGATGGGGTGCAAACCTATCGTCCAAACCCTCAACCTACAGGATCAGAGTAATTTACATATATTACCGTATTTTGACGAGTATAAGTCGCACTTTTTTTACTGCTTTTTAGAGCTCAAAATCATGGTGCGTCTAATACTCGACAAGTGACCATTTTTACAATGAAATTATCTACAGTAGTGGTCCACTCTAGAGACCAACCTGTGCAGTGGTCCGTTAAGCAGATGGTCCCTTAACCGAATGGCTAGAGTACCTAGATTATCAGAGTAGCGACACGCCAGTCATCACCGCCATGTTCTGTCGACTGTCATCATGTGACCTATGAGTTTACATTAAGAAATGACGATTATTTCAGTTTAATAAAGGTATCGATACATCCATCCGTCATATTCATGAATAAAAAAACGAATAAAATGCATGTTTAGACAATCCCATTAAAAAAGTTTTTTTCTAAATTTTTTGTCTCAAAATAGGGGTGCGTCTTATACTTGACAGCGACTTATACTCGTCAAAATACGGTACTTTTCAAAAGTTTTTAGTACCTGAAATTACTCTTGCGATACGAAATTCGTTCGGCTAATCCATTCCAATTTTCAAATTCGAATGGATTAGCCCGGAGAAATTCACCTCCGAAAATCGACTGTAATTTCTGTGTAGGTATGTGGTCAGTCAGTGACTTTTTAGTGACATTAATTATAAAATGATTAATATTTCACTTAATATAGTCAATTAGCCTGACAGAATAGGCCATGTGATAAATTCTGCTTCAATTAAAGAATTATTTTTTGATAAATTGACGATAATATCATATGAAGTTTATGAAAAATAAATTACTTTTAATTCAACTATATATGTGCATACAATTGTTGTAATGTTTTCTAAGTTAAAATATTCTAATTACAAAATGTAATACTGTAAACTAGGTACGGGAACAACAACTATAAAATAAACTTTTATAGTATTAAAAATATATTAATATATTATAGTAATAAATTTTATATTATAATAAAAATCTGTTTCATTATTATTGCCTTTTATTAGCTTTCGTTTTAAGCTATGAAGCGCAAAACACATTAAAGTTTACGAAAATTTGGCAACTTTACATTCGGGGTCAAATCAATATTTTAATAATAAAAACAACGAAATTTTAATGCTTTTGTTATCACAGATTGTAATATTCAATGATTGATTTATAAAAACTGTAAGTATTACTTGCATAATTATATAATAAGTAAACGAAAGTTTATAATTTAAAATTTGTAAAAATACAATATTAATTCTTTTAAAAAATAATATCGACAAAAACAGGAATAACAAATAGTTGAAGTTGTTAATCTCCAATGTTCCTATTTTACAATATTATAGGCCTATTTTAAAATATTGTTCAATTTTGTTATTATCTACATAAATTATGAAGTTAGAAAAGTATTAATTTTTTTTCAAAATCATGCCAAATAATTTTATTAAAAATTTATGTTTTTCAAAAATGAATTCATTATTTAACAAGCAGAAGATTGAGATTTAGTAAAAGGGTTAAAATATGCATGTTCTTGAGAATATATATATGTTAGTCGACAAGTAAGAACGCTCATACAATAACAGCATGTAATTTTAAAATTATTAACACTATAATTATTATAATGTGTTTTAAAGTACAACAAGAAATTATATATTGTGACATCATCACAATGCCGGGCTGCAATTATTAATCATATTTTTAATTTATTTAATTTAAAATATGTTTTCCACCTCAAATTAGTAGTGTCTCGCCCCTGTACATATTACTTTTCCTGTTAGCAATAAACTTTTGCCGGTCATTTATCTTACTCCTTCAGAGGGAAACTTGAATTTAAATGGCGTCATTTCCGGTGCAAAACGGGAGTTCTTATGTAGTTAATCGGGCATCCCGCCGCTAAGCTTCCCATATCTGGTCTCGGTTTTCGTGTATCTATATCCGTTCTCGAGATTAATGATGAAATAACACAGAGAGTGGGAACTTATGTTTACATTTTTTAAAATTGCAGCCCAATAACTTTCAGAGTGAAGATTTGCTGGAGTTCTGCGATTTTCTTTTAAACTGTAATTAAAGAAAATAAAGCATGGCACGTATTTTTGATAAAATATTTTGATTTTGAAGTCTACAGGTTATTATAAAACTTCAAAATGATATAGTAATAATGGCTGAATCCGGGAGTAACAGAATAAATGTACCTTAAAAATGCATTTTTGTTTGATATACTTGTTGTTCCGCAAATAAAACAAATTTCCTTGTGATGTTTTGAATATAAATATCTATCAATATTATTCGGTTTTCAATGTCAAAATTTTACAAAAATTTTGATAGTGAGTTTTTTTTAGGATAGATAACATGTATGTTTAAAAATATTTAACATGACCATAACAAGACAAGAATTTAATAATAATCTACATACCGCAAGTTTTATTATCTGTATTCAATCTAAACTCTTTGAAACAACCGCATTTCTGCTTTTCATTCTCTATGGTACATATCTGTTGACATGACGTATCTCCCATTTTGCAATAATTTTCTTTAATTTCTGAAAATATCTCAAAGTTTACAGTAATCATTTAAACAATTTATTAAATAAAATTTACAAAAAATTTATTTTAGTCAATAATATATACATATATAAAGATTTACCAATTGAATCTTGGTTTGATGACTTTTTAATTTAAAAAAAGAAAGTAAATTAAATAAATTCCTTACCGACACATTTTTTCGAACTCGGATCATAATAATAATCTTTATCACAGTCAAAACTATATAAAGGTTTACCGAATGAATCAGCTTTTAGATTGCATATGGCGTATTCCCCATAACGTTTTTTACAAATATTTTCATTTACTGTAAAATTTTTACAAAATTAAATAAAACACGGAATTTCTACCAGTATACAGATTCACCAATTGAATCTTGGTTTGATGACTTTTTAATTAAAAAAAAAAAAAGAAAATGTAGTGAATTCCTTACCGACACATTTTTTCGAACTCGGATCATAATAATAATCTTTATCACAGTCAAAACTATATAAAGGTCTACCGAATGAATCAGCTTTTACATTGCATATGGCGTATTCCCCATAACGTTTTTTACAAATATTTTCATTTACTGTAAAATTTTTA